CCCCCTTGTGCTCATTTGGATTGTTATATTTTTTAACTGAGTTCACTATTCTTGAGAAGTTTAAAAATGATCCCGTTGGTGTAACTTGATGTAACTTGTTATGATCTATATTTATTTGTTCCATTGCCTTCCTTATTGTTCCTCTGTTATGCCAATAAAGGTCTATGTATGTAACTGGTTATTATCTAGAGCTGGGCCAATCAAGTGCTGGGGGGTGTCTCTTAGGAAGTAAGTTCTCCATGAGAGAACCGCGGGGAGGGAATAACTAAAATGAATAAATTATTCTCCATATACGTTTCTGTCATGATCTGGGCTGTGCCACCAGAGGCCTACTAGGCCCAGGGAGCCTGGCTAGCAGTAGGTGAGGCTGGGCCTACAACTCCCAGAAGCTAAATAATGTTAAAAATTGGTTTCCATTTCTCATTTCACTTTGTTAAAATAGATTTACATAGACTTTATAGAGTCGTGTCATGATCTGGGCTGTGCCACCAGAGGCCTACTAGGCCCAGGGAGCCTGGCTAGCAGTAGGTGAGGCTGGGCCTACAACTCCCAGAAGCCCCTGAGAGGTTTTGGAGCCAAAATTGACCAATAGGGAAGAAGAGGGCTGGGGAACAAAAGGGCTGGCGCCAGAACAGAAGCTGTTCTTTCTTCCAGAGGGCAGAGCCAGAAGGAAGGCTGCTGCAGGGGACAGACCCTCATCCTGAGGGCAGGGTGAGTAGTGTTAGGCCACTTGAGATAGTGAGCTAGGGAAAGTAAATTTAGATGCGTTAGGGCATTTGATTTCTTTTCTTTTCACCCACTTACTGTGTTTATTCTGCACCTTGTTGTTTGACCTCCCATAAAAAAAACCTTTTCCTTATTTCACTCTGCCTGGTCCTCATGCCTGTTATTCGGCCAAAAGGGGGGTCTGAAGGTCTTGGGAGGGTGCTCTGGGCCTTCTCAAGGGATCCTAAAACCAGAGTGGTGGCAGCATTAGGTGACACCCCACCTGAGCCATGACACTTTCATATTCTGCTCCCTTGATGAAAACAATGAAAACCTTGTCTCATCCCTCCTGTCTAGAATTCCAAGTGCTGGTTTGGACTGGTAATGATGGACCTTTTTAAATGGCGGGAGACGCTCCAGGCAAACACGTATCCCCTCTCGGCAGCCCTCAGATTTTGGATGTACTCAGAAGAAGGAAACTTCTGGCCCCACCGGTGGACCTCCTGAGGGCACCTGGGTTTTGGCCACTGTGTGACACAGAGTGTGGGACTGGATGGGCCACTGGCCTGATCCAACATTGGCTTCTCTTATGTTCTTATGAAACAAATTTGAAAGATCCCCCCATTAAATACACCCTCCTTACCCAGCGAAGTGGCACCTCCATCTGTCTCTTGCTTCACCTCATAAGAGAGTAACTTCTGCCAAGGGACTGCTGGAGTCTCCTCCTCTCTTTCCGACGGTCCCTGAGACTACAGAGAAGGAATGGGGAGAGGGGTTAAGAAAGGAAGGGTGCTAGCGAGCGCCTGGCAAAGTGGGAAGAATGGAGTCTTTCTTGGATGGTTTCTTGAACTCACTCACCTGCTCCTCCTGCTTCACGTGCTCCGCCTGGCTCAGGAGGAAGCCTTCGGCCAGTGCCCCGGCCTGGGAACTGGTCTCCAGTCCACATTCTCTGACCCAGCTCTCCATCTCTGGGAACGCGGCAGTCAGGATCTCCTCGTTCTTCTGCCTGTTTCCTTCTCAAGGGGAGAATGAGCAAAACGGGTAGGGCTGCGAAGTCTGAAAAAGTGTTCTGTGAACAGCATGTGGCCTTCTCCGGGCAGACGAGCCAGAAAGAGAAGGATGCCAGCGAGGAGCTGAGACTTCTCTCTG